GAAAGAGAATCTAACAAACAGAAGCCCTTTGTCCACATTTTGATCATTAGATGTGTGCATTCATGACACATGATTTTGTACACTGTGGTACGTGACAAAATGTTTTTCCGATTTAATGCTCAGAGAATATTTTGAAGATAGATTTTGTCTGTTATTTTTATTGCATATTTTTAAAAAATGTTTTTTTAGAAGCATTGCACTGTTGATTTCACCAATCACAAAATGCAATAGATCATAATTAGGTAGTGTAATATGATTCTCATTCAACCAATTAAATTCCATTAGTCTTAAGTACAATTAACTATAAGTAAACACCAAATTATTTATTATCGCAAATGATAATAGCCACAAGATACAAAATGCACGTGTTTCATCACATAACCCTACACATTTTTATTTGCGAGATTAATATTTGCTAGTAGAGGTGTAAGTTCTGGCCAGGTAAAAGGGTCAGTCAGAAATCTATCCTTTTTGCCAGGCTCGGGCTCAACATAAAGATTGGGTCACTCGGCCCGAGGTTTTTTATTTTTTAAATTTTCCTTATAAAGCTTCGGGTATGCTCTGTCCGGCTTTAGCTCGCAAACCTTTTAGGAACGCACTACCCAACCTTTTTCTTTTTGGACCTGGCACGAAATCCCCCTTTAGGTCGTGGGGTCTGGGCTATCTAAACTTGCAACTCTAATTGTTAATGAATTAGTCCAAAAAGCTTTATTTTTCAGTCATAGCATGATAAAAGCAAATTCTCCTGTGTGATTGATAAACAAAAGGGTTATTTTATTTTTGGCCATTGAGGAATTAGGTTGTCCCATTTTAGCTCCTGATTCTTAAAAACGCCACAAGTTTGGCACCCGAAGTTTCAATCCACGCTAACAACCCTTTTGTCCCCGAACTTTCTAAGGGCTCTTAGGGTGACGGACTGAAAATTTTCACGGGTCAAATATGTGTCATATCAAGTGTCGGGGTCCAAAATAGGATGATCCTAATTCCTCAAGGGTCAAAAATGAAAATAACCCTGAACAAAAACGACAAACCGTGACCAAATTTTTATGCACATTTTTTTGCCCATAACATGGGCCAGATCTGATAGTTCTCCACCGCCTAATCCCATTCCCATGTCCCCACCTCTATTGTCCATAACGTCGGAGGTGCTCAAACTCATAGATTGAAATGGCTGGAAAAGCGTGCGATAATTTTATTGTACTGTTTGCTTTGGCCTTTTTCGTTGGTTTGTATTTCTCCATCTAAATTAAGACTCGAGGGTACGAGGTACACCACTAGAGTATCTGCCCATATAAGTGATAATTTCCCAACAACTAAACAGCTTGTCGCTAAAAAAGTACTTAACAGCTAGTTGCTATAGAAGTGACAAATACGAGCAAAAGCTGCTTCACTCGATCAATGAATATTATATGTATATATATATATATATATATATATATATAGAGAGAGAGAGAGAGAGAGAGAGAGAGAGAGAGAGAGGGGCTAACTGGACACGTGTGGTCCAACTGCTTGGCTTTGGAATTTGGATAACAAAAATTTCTTGATTGGAAGATTTTCTTCCTATAAGAAAGGATAAATTTTGTGTGCCTAATATGCAAAAGAAGCCGAGTCCTGATTAGTAAGTGGAGCAGGGAAGGCTAAGAGGTGTATGCGTGTGAAGACAAAAACATGTCATTGTTGCTCAAATTGTTTTGTAATGAAAAAGGATGAGAAGAGATCCTGTTTGATATCCCAGACAAATTACATCAACGTACTGTTTGCGCCAAACATGAAATGAGAGAAACTCCAAGGAATAAGACAACCATCAGTGTCGAAACAGACCAGCCAAAATTTGCTTGAGTAAGTTTTTTGCCTTTTAATATTCAATCCTTATCAACAAAATCATGGATGCAACTTTCACAAGCGACAAACCATATATGCAAGAATCTGTACAGGGTGAATTTTATATTAAAAAGAACAAGAATCATTTTTTGCACTAACAATATAATTATCATCATCAATTTACAACCATCTCTATGTCCATCCATTGGTTGATCACCATAAAAGCAATCTATTAGTGCTCGCACGATGTTGTTTTGTTGTTTTGCCTACCAACATGGCCTTTTGGCAGAGATGTTTCTAAACAGAAGTCGAGCTCCGAAGTCTTTCATTCTTTGCACATGCTTCCTGGAGATTGAAAGATTTGATTCCGTAATTAGAGATTTGGTTCTGATTTTTTTGATGGTCGAAACCAATCTTGTACAAATTACTTCGTGTCATTCGGCCTAGTAGCTTCTAGTGACCGATTATGAGTTTTTAACAAATTAGGTGCTTACTTATAATAAGTTGAAATGAGGGCAGACTCTAGCAGAAGAAACATTCTGCTCAATAAACAGCATTTTAATACAAACAAATTAACAGTAGACCACAGAACATCCAAAAGATTGGATAGAATATTTTTACTTGGTATAATTTAATTCGACATCAACCCAATTCTGTATCTTCTCCAGTGATTCTAGAAAGTGCTATTTTGATTTGTATTACAAAAGATACTGCAAAATATCCACAAAATAGTACCACTTGCTGCTTACTTTCAAAAATTTTGCAAGACTTGTGCATGACTAAGGATGACCGGAAAAAAAAAAAAGGAATACAAGGATTTGGTTTTCTAACATCAAAGGAACGTGCACATATGGAAGAAATTCCCTTAATGAGCCTAACAGGTTAAGACTTAATAATACAACTATGATCAGGATTCATAATCAGTAGCTTTCAAGAATAAAGTGCATACCTGAAAAGCTTTCAACAGAGAATACCATTGTCTTTGTGCTGCAATTGCTGCAGTGTACCTTTCTTTCAGAGCGTCACGTATCTTTTCCTGCTCCTCAAGGCCAAGTCGCACCTTTTGAAGTTTCTATAAAATGCAAGAAGCAGGAAGACCATTAGATGCACTTGCACTTCCATACAAAAAGTGTGCCAGACAAGTTGCACATGAGTTGGAGCCAAAAGGACAATTGAACTAATTTTGGAACGTGATTGGTAGAACATGAGTACTCTTCAAATTCCCCACGTTCATATTATTTTCATCATTGCCAAGTTGTATATACAAATGTATAACTCAAACACATGCGTTTATTTCATGGGTGCAAATAATAGGCTTGTTTGTTTAATAGGTTTGAACTACAACACAAACTTTTTGCTAGTGTTTTTTCTCAATAAATTTGAATTTCTGTTCAAATCTATGAACCAAACGGACACAATATCAAACTTAGTGCATTGATGTAAAACCAGAGAGATTTCTCATAGCTCTTGAAGATGCTAAGTGAAGCATTTCTAAGTTTCTAAGAGAAAGTAGAGTAACAAAACTACTGGAAAATACCTGTTGACTGCCCTTCACAATTCCCTCCATGGAATCAATGAGTTTCATACGACCGGCAGTGCTTGTAATGGCATTTTGAAACTGGACGACATCACAAAGGGTGCATCCGTGCCAGTTAGAATTTGATCACAGACAAGAGTAGTTATGTAACAAATTACTCAACGGTTAAAGGCCCAAACATACGGAACTAGCAATGTCATCATTAATAACAAAATATGCAACGAACTTATTCTATATAAAAATGAAGACCAACATAGCCCCAAAACAGTTTTCATTTATTTTTTATTTTTTAAAAGTATAAATCTCATATAAAAGAAAAAAATTCCATTCTAAGGTTATAGCATTTACAACCATAAAGAATGCTACTCTGTCGCCAGATGTTTCCTACTCCAAAGTCAGAAGAAAGCTTCATGCGGCAACAAAATGAATGTTTATAATGGTTTGATCGGAAACCAAGGTGTTTAGTCTACTTGAGGGCGTAAGCCTACGCCTTGAGGCGGATCGAGACATAAACCTCTAATAAAAAAAACATAAATTAAAGAAAATTATAAATATGACAATATAATCAACACGTAAGCTTAGTTCATCACAAAGTACGTAATAAGAAAGAGTGTGAAGTCTAGAGTCGAGAAACAGTCTTAGTCTAATACTCTTAAACATCTCATACATATTTACTCAAACTCATGGTTAAGCTTCTAGGCTTTCTAATTATCGGGCTTAAAAAACCAGCCCAAAAAATGACTCTACACTAAATTTGGCGCAAATGGCCTTTCTCAACGAGGCTGACACCTCAATAGCCTCAAGGCACTTTATTTGACGCCTCGAATATTAAAAGCATAAGCCTCATACAATGCAATAGAGGAGCAAGCCTGAAATTGGGACATGGGCACCTTAGTTTGAGGCGCACCTCAAGGCTCAAGGTATTCGAGGTGTTGGTCTTTTCACTTCTTTTATATTTTTACATATGAAATTTATTCTCGAGTTTTCCAAGCAGGAACACTTTTCAAAAATAGAAGAAAAGCTCCTTCATTAACATCTCATCTTAAATCATAAAAAGAATAATTCTCATTCTCTCAACTTCTCTCTTTGATTTTTCAGAAAAAAAAAAAAAATCCCCACCCCAGGGAGAGGCAAAAATTAAATAAAAAGACATTCAGATGCACCCCACAGAAGAATTGCTTACATAAAAGAGAAAAGCAAAGAAAACCGGAAAACACAAAGGATAAGCCTTATTTTGGTATTGCTTTTCCCTTCCAAAACCAGCTTCTACTCGTAGCAGAAGCTGATTTTAGTGTTTGGTAAATCTCTTCAAAAGTGTTTTTTGAAAATTTTTTCAAGAATTTATAGCCAAAATCAGAAGCAGCCTAAAGACAACTTTAATTTTTAGATTGTGCGGGAATCAATATAGAACAATTAATGAAACTTTCATAATACCCATAATACCCCTAATAAAAATTAAATTTTACAATATTCTCAATCTAAAATTCAGACTTGTAATATAATATAATATAATAGTAATAGTAACATTGTAACAAATAATATCATAATTATATTAATAACTCTAATATTATTAATTTATCATAGAATATGATATTATAATTATTTTAATAATATCATATTATAATTGTAATATGATATTATAATTATTATTTTATAATACATTAT